AACCAATTGGACAAACAACCCGTTACAAAGCATGGCCCATCAACCACGGACATGACAAGGGTTTCATGTCTTGGATACTTCGATGGAGTATGCACCGTCATATTCAATCAATCCATTTGCTACAATTAATTGCCTAATTTAGGAATTAGAGTCTACTGATCTTCCTTGTAAGCCGTTAGCCTTAAGAACGACGTCTGAACAATCTATGCAAAGGTCATCAGCTAAAACCTTGTACGTCAGTTGAGCGTAATAAACCGACTGGTACGTTAGGTCGTTCTGCCCAGACTCTCAAGTGTACAACGGTCGGCAGTATGGCTGTTGTGTTAATAATTTGATATTTTTTCATACTGTATCTAGTGCGCAACAGTATCGAAGACGCTATTAAAGATGTGCAGTCCAAGAAAGTCGATGGATTATTCATAGATCACTACGCAAACACCTTTTATCACTCAAGAGAAAAACTGAAAACGCTTCTCACCGTCAAGAAATTGGAACTTCAAAGAGATGTCGGGGTTCTCTTTTCAAAGGACAGAAAATACCTGGCAGATTGCTTAAATTATCAGCGTTCCACCATTTTGAGGTCGGCTCAAACCATCACTGCAACATATAAGGTACAGCTTTAAGTTGGGAGAATTATTTGAACAGCGAGCTCAGATCTCTGCTTTATCAGCTATTGTGCGTGAAACATGAAAAACATTTAACAAGGTCAGCAACTTCTGTTACCCAGGTCACTGGATAAAAAAGTAACCAATTAGAATGCAAGAGAGCAGAAATTAGTTCCTTATTACCTCTTTCTTGTCATCGCTTGCCTTAGTCCCATGAAATGATTGGCACGATTTGAGTCATGATTAATTGATCTATTTATAAGATAATCATGAATGCTTTCTTTTTTGACAGTACACCAAAAGTAATCCAGCCAAACAATTCAGTTTGTTTGACGATTCTTCCAGCTTTATTAAAATACTCCTGTACATTTTGCTTGGAGTATTGGCGGGAATGCTTTGTATTGGAGTAATATGGGACTTACTTATCAGGAAGAAGTCTGGCAAGCAGCAAAATTCCACGATAGAGTGGCGTAAGCTTTTTTTCTTTTGACGGTGTCCATTTGTTCATCGTATTGAGAATAGTATCGTCTGCCTGTAATTCATTCATCTATCCATTTATCCATCGGTCTTTTCATTTCACTTAAGTTTCCGATATATCCATTTAACCCCATATCAATTATTACGGATTAAGTGATTTACTCATTTATACAATTATTTACTTTTTCTACCAGCCATCACTTCATCAATCTACTCATTCATCCTTCTGTCCATCCATCCATCCATCCATCCATTTAATTCATTCACTTCATCCACAAATATATCTTCTTTTTTTCATTTTTGCATGTTTTTTTTCTATTTAACATTGTCGTCAGTTTGATTTCAACGGCGGGCCTTATCCATTGATGTGGTTAAGTGGCATTATGAAATAATCAATTTCATTCATTTAACAGAAGCTGAAAACAAAGGGATGGTGTTAACTGAGAGAGAAAGTATTCTCAACGACTTTGAAGTAGGCAAAAGACTTCTTAAACAAATGCAAGATCACTTTATTATACTGGAATCAAAGGTTTCAAAACTTCGGGGTAGCCAGTAAACGGTGCGTTCAGTGAGTTTTGCAAGTTACAAACCATGCAACACGTGTACAGGTTAAAAAAAATCTTGATTGCATATCTATGTATGTACTGATTTCACTCCAAAGGCAGGCAATATTCAACATCTATGTAAGAGGACAAGGCTAGAACAGCATCATCTACCTATCTATCACAACTTGATGGAAATTGCTGAAAAGAAGTGTGCTTGTTTGTTAAAGTAATCGTACTGGAAAATAGCTTCCGTGTATGATTTCGTCATGCGTTAAGTGAATTTTTCTTCTCCAGCTTCTAGCTTAATTTTTTTTTAATTACTCCTTATTATATCTGCCAATCTGCATCTTGACATTTTGGCTTGGGGTAAAGTTATCTATTCTTACGTAAACTTACAGGTAGCTTATTACTTCCACTGTACTTACGAACTTAACGAATGCAGATCATCGATCTCTTTGAAGTTTTCAAATTCTTGTATTAGTCCAAAACTTAGCCTTTTTTTCCATAAGGTTTTCAGCCCCTTTTTGCAGATTGAAAAACTTTACTTAGCAAATTATTTCATCATTGTCTCTCATAATCAGTTCAATAGATAACAACAAAAGTCTTTGTTAAGTTCTTACTTAGTTAAAATGCATTGTATTTTGTCGTTTGAGTAGTTCAATAGTTCAGGAAGTCCAGCTGCGTGCATCCAGCGGCAGGAGGAGACTACTATAAGGCCTTGCGAACAGTAAATGGTTGATTATTTTAACTGGAGGCCAATTCGACCGCAGAGGTGACTTAGCGAGATTAAAAACACACTAGGCTACTATCCTTTGATGGCGAGGGTGGCCTGCACGCAAGCAACCGTGTTTATCTATTACTCCTTGCTCAATAGAATGGAAAATACCTAAAATACGAATGTATTTATGTACACATAACACTTAGTGAAAAACAGAAAGACAAAACAAATAAATATATGTTCAAAATCATAAAACCGAATAGGAATTAAATGCTAATGATTTTTAGTTCTAATACAAGCTTTCCTATTTCTTGTTTTTGTCCTTTTTGATTTTTTCAGTTTGTTTGTTTTGCTTTTTTTTCTGTGTTGCTTTATTTCTTTCTCGCAATATAATTCCACACTTTCTCAAAGAATGATAAGCCTGGCCGAGTGACAACATTTTGTTAACCATGGCAGTGACTACTAGCGAAGTTAAGTTGGGAAGTTCATCATTAATACCAATATGTTTCCTAGATGGACTTTCCATCATTATGATTTTCTTGACCTGCCAATTGGTCTTCCATAATTGGATAATTAGTGTGCAGAAAATGCCTTGTTTTCGAAGTCAAAGAGCACATATAATGAAACCCAGTGTTGCTTACTCCATGCAATGAATAGCAGCGCGTGGCTCGAGAGCCTGTGTCTTGGAACCATTATTGTTTAGAAAGCATAAACAGGCCAACAAAGTGAGAGTTACCCCTTACATAATGCTGAGGCGTTTGGGAAAGCACGAAGGACACGAAGACGACTGTCGCGAAATTAATTGAGACAGTTGAATAACTTAAAAACATATAAAGGTTAGAGTAGAAAAAATTCATGCACGGAGCATGTCCACGAAAATCTCATCTTATGATGTATCTTTATAAAAAGTATTTTGCAAGTATCTGTTTGAAGAGAAATTATGCATGTATCTAAATAAAGAGAAATTATGCAAGTATCTTTTTATTAGGAATAATGCAAGTCAATGTTGCGAAATAAGGATGCCACAAAATCCTCTTACTCTTTCCTGTTTATCAAGAATAAATCTATGTTACGATTAGCAGATTGACTGACTGACTGACCGACAGACCAATTGACTGAACGACTGACTGAATGACTGACTGACTGACTGACAGGCTGCCTGATCGACTGACTGACTGACCAACCGACAGATTGACTGACTGACTGACTGTCTATCACCCATAAACACTGACCCACTGACCGACTGAGTGACTGACTGACAGACTGACCGACTTGCTCGTTTGGCGTTGTTGATTAATTGATT